TATATATATATATATTATATATATATCTATATGTATATATATATATATAATATATATATATATATAATATATATATATATTTTATTTATATATATATATATATATATATATATATATATATATATATATATATATATATATAATGTATATATAATATATATAATATATATGTATATATATAATGTATATATATATATATATAGAGAGAGAGAGAGAGAAAAAGAGAGAGAGAGAGAGAGAGAGAGAGAGAGAGATAGAGAGAGCATGAGTAATTCAATGAAAATCCCGGAAAATTATTCAGTTAAAAATTGATCGTTTTAACAGACAACAAAAACTTTCGTAAACTTTTAAAACGGAATTTAGAATATTCTATTTTTTACAAAAAGGAATTTCTAATATTCGAAAAAGTTAATTTGAATGAATTGAAAAGCAAAAAAAAGAAAAGAAAAAAAGCTGTTATGAAAATTGATCTCATGAAAATTTTAATTATAGAAAACATATTTGTTTAAATGCTAAAGTTGTCGAACTTAATATTTTATGTAAAAATACATATATATTTTTTCAAATTAATAACAAAAAACATCATGAAATTTTTGGAAAATTAAAGGAGTTTTTAGTGAATTTCTGTAATTCTGGGAAATCTTGGAAAAAACTCATCTATGAGAGAGAGAGAGGCTACAGCAAAAAATATGTATTACGTAGTTATGCAATAATAAAAAAAAAGCAAAAAAATGTTTATTCATTGATGAGCATTTTAAAAATCTCTTCAAATTCAGATTTCTTAAACCATTTAAGCTTTTCAAATTTATTTTCTAAGAAAGACACACTCACATATATATTTTTTAGGCTTCAATTAGGCCATGCTGTATACACATTTTTTACATAGCCTTAATTATTTCATATTATCTTTCTATTTCTGTACATCTTTTATCTCTAATCTTTTGACGCTTTGTAATTTTGGATACCTGTTGCTTTTTTACATTCGGCTCTGTGCACTTAGTTCTACACGCCCCCTTTTGGTCTACTAAGTTATTGGTGAACAATCAATAATAATAATTAATAATAATAATAATTGTTATGCGATTATTAATAATAATTATTAATAATTGTTAACATATATTTCAATAATAACAAAATGGTTCAGGAAAAAAAACAAAAAAACTTGAACAGTGGTGGGACTTGTACCATGACATTCCATGTATAAAGTAAGCTAAACATGTACATACTTAAGAGCAAATAAATGTAATTATATAATAAAAAGTTATACATGAAAGTATACGCATGCATTACATTGATGTTTTTATATAGGGAAAATATATACTTGTTACATTAGAATTATACAAATATATATTACCAACAGATAGCAATTTATATTTTTGCTTTTCTCTTTAAAAAAAAAACAAAATAAAGGAAAATCATTTTTTTTAATGTCAACTTAAATCTTTTTTTTGCTTTAACTTATCCAATTTCATTGCTAAAAATAACCACACAAAGAAATATAAAAAAAAAACATAAATTATTTAGTTTATCAATTTTTTTTTTCATTTTTTCTGTCTATATTAATTTGAATCCCTATTTTGTTAGTTTTGCTATTTATTTATATTTATTTAGTTAGTTTTTTTCATTTTTTGAAAGTTTTTTCTGTAACACATAATATAATAAAACTTGCAAACAGTCATTGCCAAGTTGTCTTAAATAAAATACTCATGTGGCTTGTTAAAGCATTCATATTATGTTTTTTTTTTTTTTTTTTTTTTAAGGGGGCAATTGTTTACGCTTGAATTTCTTTAAGGGATTCCTAAGTGACGAGATAAGTTATGTTTTTTTAGTAAATAAACATTAGAAAATAAGTTTTAAGTTAAATAAGTTTTTTGCAACTATCATGATAAATAACTTGTTCTGGAAAGTTTGATTAACATGAAACTTATTTTTCAACTTATTTTATGATATAAGCACAACTTGTGTTGGCACTTAGGTCACTTTAACATTCAAAAAAGAAAAAAACTATCAACTTTTTTTTAACATTTTAAACAAAATCTTTGGATACTACTCATAAACTAGTTAGCCATTTTTAATCGATGTTCATTCTATGATCAATTCAACAAATTAGTGAGAAAGAAAAAACTGTTGTTAAAAAGCAATTTCAAAACTGAAAAAATCATCTTTTCATAAATTTCACATAAAAAATTTAATAAAAAAATTCTCTAAAATATTTTTAGTAAATCTAATAATTTTGCCTACAAGCTTGTTTATGGATTATCTGGCATATACAGTTATAAGTGCATTGTTTTAGAGTTATAAGCAATTTGGTATATTAGTACTTTCATAACGAAATAAAAAAAAAAAATTATTGATTTAAAACTATAAATAAATAAACAAATAGTTACAGTTGTGGCCAAAAGTTTAGAATCACATGTGAACTTTTCATTTTTTTGTGTTTTTGTCGAACCTTGGTCAGAAATATTAATTTTATTTAGTTGCCTTTGTTCCGGTATTTAGTTAAACCATTTGTGGTAGCTAGGCAGCAGTTTTAATTACATTTTTTGATCATTTTAATGGGAAAAAAGAAGGAATTATCAGAAGTTATTAGAGGTCAAATTCTTATATTAGCTCAACAAAAAAATTCAACTAGAGATATTGCAAAAATTGTAAATGTATCAAAATCTTGTGTTAGTAAGACATTAAGTAGAGTTCGACAATGTGGAACATTTTCGTCACGTGGGAGAAGTGGCAGACCAAAAAAAATGACTGAAAGGTTGACAAGACGCATCAAGTTTATTGTGGAGAACAATCCCAAGCTGTCATCATATGGGATTCTGGATGATTTGAGTCCTGGAAATGCTGAAGCAAGTCTACCAAGCACAAAAACGATCAGACGTGTGCTGCAGATTGATCTGAAGCGTCCTGCTTGATGACCTGCCAAGAAACCAGCCTTGAATGACACTCAACGCAAGAGGAGGTTGGACTTCTGCAAAAAGTACAAACATTGGAAGGAGAAGGACTGGGAGAAAGTAATGTTTTCTGATGAAAGCACATTTGAACAATTTGGGACATCATGCAATTATGTTAGAAGACCACAAGGATCCAGGTATGTTCAGAAGTACACTGTGCCTACTGTAAAACATCCACCGTCAATAATGGTGTGGGGTTGCTTCTCAGCTCGATTTCGCGCCGGTTACATTTTGTACCGAAGGGGCAGAGAGTAAATTCCCGGGAATTCTACAGGAAAAGATGCTCCCATGCATGGAGTCACATAGAACAACCATACTGAAGCGTAAAGTGAGAAGAAAGGTGCCACAGAATATTGAAGATTTACAGAGGAAGCTAGTGGAAGTTTGGACAAAAGAGATAACACCAGAACTGTGCAAGAAACTTGTTTGGAGCATGCCACGTCGAATTGCGGCTGTATTAAGGAACCGCGGTTATCCTACCAAATATTAAATTTTTGCAACTTTTTATATTGTTAGATTTGCTCAACAATGTAGGTGCTATATACTCTAGTATAATATGCAGTATTATATGAATTGGTGTTATACTATCTTTATTTGTATGCAATAAATTAGAAAAAACATGGTTTTTGTTGAAAAATATTGGGCAATTCCAAACTTTTCGCCACAACTGTAAATGTAATAAAAACATTTAAAAGTAACTTGAATAAAATTTATTTTTAAAAATATTCTTTTCCTTTGCAGTAAAAAAAAATTGTAAAATGAAGCTTTTTAAAATTTTTAAAAGAATTAGAATTAAATTTAATTGAATAAATTTATATTTATTAATATTTAATAATAAATTTAATTTAAATATAATAAATAAAAATAAAAATTTTTTAAAAAACAAAATATAGTTTATTTAACTAACTGTTATTTTATCTAATGAAAAAATATTTCACAAATGTTTTTTACAACATCTAATTACTGCTTAATGAAAATTTTTTGTGTAACGTAAATAGCTTTAACTGTAGGTAAAATTGCCATTTTTTACGCAAAATCAAAGTCTTATATATATATATATATATATATATATATATATATATATATATATATATATATATATATATATATATATATATATATATATATATATATATATATATATATATATATATATATATATATACAGACACAATTAAAATAAAGCGGAAGTACATTAAGTTTTATCGATTTTTAAAAGATAGTTGTTCCATCGACTACCTTATAGCCTGCTGCTACAAAGGACTGTTGGTATATTAACTATCTTATAGCCTGCTGCTACAAGTAAGTGACACTACATCGACTGAGGGTTTGGTTTGGGCAAGCAATGTATAATTTAAAAAAAACTTTATTCAAGTTTTTAACTTTTTCTGGTCTGGTTTACTAGTGTTCTTTTTAAAACTTTAAAAGTTTATGGTAAAAACTTTTTGACTACCATGCAAGACATTAGGTCGGCATAATAAATCTGGCACAAAGGGGTTACCATAAAACAGAGAAACGAGGTTGGTAATTTATATATAATATATATATATATATATATATATATATATATATATATATATATATACACACAAAAAAAAACTTATTTTTTTCTTCATCTGAAAATGTGTCTGCATTATTGTCTGCAAGTCAGCAATTCAAAAATTAAATAACTTAAAAACCAAAATTGAAAAAGATATATGCATAAATGAAACTTTGTAAGTACATAACATTACACTGGCTTAATAATAATTGTGTAAAAAACTATTTATACTGTTATCTTTGCATTTTGTCTATCAATCATTAACATCAACATTCATCTCCTTAAGACAATAACATTCAAAGACAAAATCTCCCTGTAACAAACACAAGGAAAAACAAGGAGTCAAAATTAGCAGTATTTTCTAGCAGGTACCCAGTTTGACCTCAAGCTTTATTTTTACAATTATTTATTCATGCGTATATACTACACTTATTTGTACTCTATTTTGGATACAACATGACATGTAATATATTATTATATTTTATAATTACATTATACAAAATGAATACCTCATTATGTGGGAAGTCATTGCTTTCATCTTTTTCTAACCATTTTGTAACAAAAGGAACAGGTATGAATAAAAACATACACACTAAAAATACTGTCCCACATACAGCACCCAAGGATTCTGGTCTATGAACGAAAAAAATTAATATATTAAACAATTCTCATTAAAATGTCAAATAAATGTCTTTTAACAAAACTATTAACATATAACCACTGCAAAATGGATTTTTTTTTGCAGTGGCTTATATGTTAATAGTTTAAATGGCTTTTTAAAATGTATATATACACATATATGAACACAGCATTAAATGCACACTGTTGACGTCATAGTAAAATTAGTTTTTTTTATGTAAAAAACTAATTTTAGTAGGATGGTAAAAATGGTAATAGCAAGAAAAAATCGATGTACCACACTGTTACACTAATAGCATTTTTGTTTTTACCAGCTTTTAACCTTATTTTAAGGGAAAAGCTCAAACCTAATTAGTGTAACAAAGTATAAGTTACAGTATGGTACATCCATGTTTTTCTTGCGTTTGCCATTTTTAACATAAAAGCTCAACCCTAACTGAAATAGATAGCTTCACAAGCTGTGGGGGTTTCAACACATAAAATTGACAATTGATTGAATTGAAAAACAAAGAAGTGCTGTTACATTGACTGAGGGTTTGTGTTAAGGTAGCAATCATACTTTTTCATTAATCTTTTTTTTTTTCTTGTTTTACTGAAAAATTAAAGCGCACATTTTAAGAAATAAAGTGCACATAATGTACTATGAAATTGCATTCTTAGATACATGTTATCTGTTGCGCACACAAACACACAGATAAATTTTTGCAGATCAGTTTATAGATTTAAACCTTTACTTGCAACAAAACCTGAGTAAATATTTTGGAATTATCAGTATATAAGTTAAGTAAAAATAATTTTGAAAGTGTTAAAAGTAACATATTTTCTATTATATTTAAATGCATCTGTACAAACATATGTACATTTAATGGTTTTTTCTGTTGGTAAAATATATTTTCTGGATTAAAAATAACATTACTATAAAATATTATGCAAATATGGAATTATTTTTTATTTACGTTTTTGGTTTTGTCTAGAAGAGAACGAGTGTCATTAGAAGGACCAGCTAAAATATGACAACAGTATTTCATACTAGGGTGAATAAGAGATTTATAAAAATAGAGAAAGGAATCAGATGCAAGAAAATGGCAAGCACAAAGAGAAGCAACCTTAGCAGATGCTAACTTAGAAATTGATTTTATATAAGGTTTCCATGAGAGATGAGTAGTAAATGATAATCCAAGAAAACTTAAAAAAGAGGACTTAGCAAGAGGGTTGCTATTCATCAATATAGGAATATTGACATGTGAAGAGAAAATGTGTTAATAATTTCTATCAGCTTAACATGGTATCTTCCTTAAGTAGCTTTTGACCTTGTTCGTCAAGGTTTGTGTTTTGGAGTTATAGAGTTAAAGAAGGGTTATAAACAAAAATAAGTAGCCTCCTTGACTGTAGTGGCCTTCTTAGCTATGAGGAAGTAAATTAACAAAAAAAAAAAAAAATTTAGGACTTCACTACAAACATCCATAACCCTAACTACACCCAAATTTGTAAAGCACTAATATTTTTAATGAAATAATTAGGATATTAAGAAATGTGAATTCAATATCAAATAACATAACAAAATAAAAATTAAAATATTCAAGACAAAAATAAAAATAAGTATTTAACACTGGTAAAAAATTGGTAAAAATAAATCAATAGAAAATATTAAACAATAAAATGATAAGTTCTAATAGAAAAAACGCAAAATACTAAACGACACCAATAATGTAAAAAAAATTAAAAAATAAAACTTTATCAAAACCACAACAAGTTGCTAAATTGGTACTTTTTCGAGAAACACACCCAAACCAATAAGGTAGAGAAATTTATATAAATTGGAAAAAACAACAAAACCATACAAAGTTTACAAAAACATGATGTTGTCATTGATACATAGATTAAACTTTGCTAACCAATCAAAAGTTTAACATAATGGATTGATATTTGACCAGGGCCAGGGCCAAGTTCGATAAAATAAAGCTGGGGCTGGGTTTGTGACCGGGGCTACATAAACATTTATACATTGTAAATTATATTTTTTATTCAAAATTCATGTTATATTTTGTATATACAAGCATGTTATATTATGTATATATAAGCATCATTATGATCAAAATGATCATCAAATCATCATTACCATCATCATCATCATCATTATCATCACCATAACTATTATCAACATCATCATTAACATCATAAATGAGGAAGGCTAAAGCCTGATGATGATTATGGTCATGATGATCACCATCATCATTATTATCACTATCATCATCATCAGGCTTTAGCCTTCCTCATTTATGATGTTTCTCTAATATAAACAATCTTGAGCATTTATTACATCTCTTCAATTTATTGAACATTAATAATTTTTTTTATCTTTTTTACAAGAACATCTCTCTTAAGAACAAATGTCCTTTTATTATTGCAAGAAGCCAATGTAAAAAAGTCCTGCCTGATGTTAATCTCTGTTATTCTCAGTTTACTAAGCCTTGTATCTTATCTCAGATGTTAGGTTCTAGAGGTACTTGGTTTATCTTCAACAGTGTCATTAACTAAAGCAACTCTAAAATTTAATCTCTAATTCATGGGTCTGATCTTTTTACTTCTCCTAGAATAAAGCAGAGTTATTTGCAAAGAAATCTTGCTCTGATTTGACTTTTGAATCTAAGGGCCATACTCTTCCTGACAGTTAAACATCGAAATCATCGAAAGTTAATTCTCAATTAAACACTTCTACAGTTTGTGCTCCAGAATAGATTTCCATCATAGCCTTAAAAAAGTGTTCTCCAGAACTCTCTTCAATTTATGCTAAATTTTTAAAAAGTGCTAAATAAGTGCTTCCAATTTTTCAAAACTCTAGAAAACACTTTGATCTCCCCAACTATTCTACAATTAGTCTTCACTCTGTTATTAGTTTTTTTTATATAAAGGTTTTGAGATTATTAAATCATTTCTTTCTAACTGCAGTATTAAAGTTATTCTTGAAGGCCTATACTCTTCTTTATTTCAAGTAACTTTAAGGGTACCAAAAGGTTTTATTTTTGCTCCTGTATTGTTTCTTATCTACAATAACAACCTTCATGAAAAAATGAAATTGGCTCTATTTGCTAATAACTCAATTTTATACTCTTGTCATGACAAAATATCTGCACTTTATAATTGCTTAGAACAAGCAGACGGTTTTAAAGCCTAAGCCACTGCAAGCCTAAGGCTTGCAGTGGCTTATGGATTCAAATTCTGGACTTAAAATCCACAATTTTTGTTAGACAACAAATCTCATTTATTTACTTTAAAAAAATATTGCAATGTTGGCATTCCTATATTAATGAATAACAACCCTCTTATTCAGACAAAGTCTAAAAGAACATTGTAAATGTAATTAAAGCTGCTTTATCTGCCAAGCTTGAGCCACTCTCCTATTGTTGTAAGGTTGCATTTCTTTCTATAAACAATCATGGTCAATGCTCAAATCATTCTTGTATGGCTTTTTATTCATCAAGTTGCATCCTTTACTGTATCTGTTTCTTTACACTATAAAAACTTTTATTTTAGTTTACAATAATGTAGTTTAGAATAGTTGAGTTAAATTTGAGTGGATGAAATATGGGTTTAAAAATAATATTATACATGAAATATTGATAACTATATAATAAATTATGCATAGGGCCGCCAAATATCTAGAACTGGGCATGCAAATGGACTGAAATTTTGGGATTCCAACATGGACCCCCTCAGATTTTGATGAAACTTGGTGGGTTGGTTTATATCAATGAAAAAAGCAATTCCTGAAAATTTCAGCCTAAAATCTTTTGTGGTTCATGAGATATCACCATTTGAAATTTCTGATTTTTTCAAAAATTAAAACTTCTTAAGCAAAAACATGTTTTGTTCATACTTTGAAGCTCTGTATTTTAAAAACGAAAATTCAGAAAACCTTCTAGTTTTTTTTTATTATATACAACTGTAGGCTTACTTTTTTAAATCCTTAACAGTGAATTTTTTAATGTCACATTTTATCCATAATGGCTGCCTAAAAAACCTTTAAAATTGTTTGCAGATATAAAAAGTTGATTTTTGATGGGTCATTATACAAAATAACCAACTTAAGAAGTGAAAAGACATATTTATTTAGTTTCTATATATGGTAGGCTTCCTAATATTTAAAAATTTGCTGATAACATATGATTCAGTTAGAAATAATGGACTCCTTAAAATGGCTGTGGGTAAAACTTTAAAAATTATGACAAAGAGGTGTATTCCTGTTGGAGGTACTTCAGGCCTCCACTCATTATGCGTTTACCGAGTACCACCAGAATGCCAAACTTTTAGCATTAAAAATACCAAATAATTTAGACTATAAAAATCTTTTGACATTAGTTGTATGTGACTTCACAAATCAAGACTGCATGCTGCACAGTTGTGATAATTGTCCAGATACTGACACACTTAAAGATTATCTTACTACTATATTTGAAAAACATAGCATTGAAGAAATCACATTTAATCAGTGGCAAAAAGCTAACAAAAAACATGACATTGTTCCAGTAACTCTTCCAGTGGATGATTTTATTGAAAAAGCTTGTCAACAAATAGACCATCACTATATAGCCAAAAACCAAACAGAATATTTGCAGCATCTAAAAAACACAGTAATTTTCAGTCAAGTCTTAAATTACTTAAAGTAATTTAAGACTTTACAGAAAATTACAGTTTTATTATTCAAGATCCAGTACAAGGTTTTCATTGGAACAACAGCCAAGCAACATTGCATCCTTTTGTTATTTACTTTATGGAAGAAAATAAGATAAAATGTAAAAGTATTTGTATCATCTCAGATCAGATAAAATGTGACATTAAAAAATTCACTGTCAAGGTATTAACAAAGTAATATAACAGCTGTATATAGCAAAAAAAAACTAGAAGGTTTTCTGAATATTCGTTTTTAAAATACAGAGCTTCAAAGTATGAACAAAACATGTTTTTGCTAAAGAAGTTTTAATTTTTGAAAAAATCAGAAATTTCAAATGGTGATATCTCATGAACCACAAAAGATTTTAAGCTGAAATTTACTAGCTGCAATAACCTATTATAACCCTGCACATGCTCTAAATCATAAACTTGATTGAGATTGAGTTTTTGTATGATCTGAAATCAGTTTAATTTCATCTTCACTTATTTCTATATCTGAAAAATTTTAATTTCAAAGTTGCATGAGTTCATGATTTTAATTGTTCATATTCTCTTTTGCAAAAGTTCAAAACATTATTAAAACGTATTTAGTTTTGCAATTTAAGGTATATATTTATAACTGTATTCAGGAGTTATATGAAGAACTACACTATCTCTTGCGTTATTTTGATATTTTAAAAAATAATAAAGGTACCCCTGTACAGATACATATATACATATATAAATAAACACCCTTAAACATATATCCATATATATACACACACATAATTGGAGTGAAGTCATAAAGTTAGAACAAATCAAGGCCAAAATGATATAAACACAGTTCTACATGAAGAAAAAGAACGTAATAAAAGAAAAAATAACATAATATTTGGTGTTAAATTAGCAAATCATGATAATATTGACAAGAAAAAATCTGGTGAAGATGTAGTAAAAGATATTTTTGACTCAATAAATACAGACAAGGATAAAATAAAAAAAGTAATCTGACTCAAAACAAGAGACACATCAAAAATACCACCAGTTATCATTGAGTTAGACAATACGTCAGACAAAATAAGTGTATTAAAAGCTGCATACATTAACAGAAACAAGATAAACGACATATATTTTAACTCAGAAATGACAGAATCCGAAAGAGATCTCATTAAACAGTTCGTAGTGAAGTTAAGTTGTGAAATGCTAGCTTAAATCAAAACGATAAATACTAATATACACTATAAGAAATTTTAAAATTGCTAAACTTATAAAAAAAAATTAAAACAATAGCAATCATCAATTTATTTCTATCAACCTGTAGTATTGGTTTTCTCTTCAACATGTAATCCTGTATCTAATTATGTTAAATCAGGAGTATTGTGACTTAGCATACAAATCAATACTCAACACTAGTATTATATATGACTATATAAATCAATACCCAAATATCATCTATGTTGCAGATATACAAATGCGACTTCACTAAACAATAAATATGATTTGTTTTTATTAGAAATAGCAGCGTATAATCCTAACTTTAGATGAAAGGTTGTCAGGAAGATCGTTTATGCAGATAAGAAACAAAACAGGGCCCTGGATGGAGCCTTGGGGAGCCCCAGAAGTTACTGGAAATAAAGAAGAGTGTTGGCCTTCAAGGATGACTTTAATAAACCGGTTAGAAAGAAATGATTTGATAATCTCAAAAACTTTCCCAGAAACACCATATGAAGCAAGCTTATGGAGAAGACCAGCATGCCAAACTTTGTCAAAAATTTAGTCCTGAAACTAGGTTTAACTTATCAAGTATTACAAATGTAAATGGGTATAATGTTTTTCACAACAATCGATCTAAAGCTAACTCAACTAAATGTCATGGTGGAGGTGTAGCTATTTATGTTAAAAATAAGTACATGGCTTATACTCCTTATGACCTAGCATCTGAAGAAATGACAGTTGAACAAGTCTGGTGCGTCATTAAAACAGAAAATCAGAATATTTTAATTGGTAGCATATATCGTCCACCTGATGCTTCAGTGCTTACAAATAAAAAAATCAATAATATAATAAATATAACAAAAAAAAGTGTTGATTGCAACAAATATCCATGTTTACTCTAAGCTGGAGACTTCAATTACCCAAATATATAATGGAATGATGAGAATATCCAAATAGTGTTAAAGAATGATAGACATGCATATATATTTTTAGACAATTTAAATGATAAATTTTTGACTCAAAACCTCACAAAACAAACACATAGCACACCAGGCAAACCAGGCACACTGTCAGAAGGCAATACCTTAGATTTGATTTTAACCGATGTACCAGAGCATATCTCAATCATAGGCTATAATCCTTCGTTGAGCAATTCAAATAATCCAAATCAGATATTGTATTGGAATTGCATCTTAAAAAAACCAACTACATCAAAAACTTTTTGGGAAATTAAAGTTAAACTACAAAGCCAGAAATTATCAAAAAATGAAAAATTAATTTCATAGTATAAAATGTTCATTTCTTTTCTTTAATAAAAGCGTTGATGAATGTTACAAAATCTTTATAAATATCACGAATTATCTAACAGTTGTATACCTAAAAAAGTCCATAAACGCAGCTTTAAAACCATGGATTGACAAAAAAATGAAGACTAAAATCAGACATAAAACAACCTTATGGAACAAATTAATATCAAATAAATCCAAGTCACCCATTCTGGCTTAACAATACAAAATACAAAGTAAATTACTTTGTCTAACCTAACATACCAAATATGCTGCAGAAGACTAAAACTATTCTAAAAGTAGATATAAACAATATAATAACTCGCCATACTGTTGAAAATAAATTTAAAAAATTAGATGTTTACAAAGCTGTTGTAGTAGATGGAATAAGCCCAACATATACAAGTAAATGTGTACAGAGTACTCTCTGTAAACCGTTAAATTTAATATATATAAAATCGTTAACTGAGAAACAGTTATCTGAACTCTGGAAATAAGCAAAAATTAACCCTCGTTTTTAAAAAAGGTAATATGAACAATCCATCTAATTACAGGCCAATCTCATTGACCTCTATCCCATGTAAAGTTTTGAAATCAATCATTCGAGATAAAATAAAAACAGCTTATTAAATGATAATCAGCATGGGTTCAAAAAAAATAAAAGCTTCACAATAAACCTATTGGAAACTCTTGATATCATAGCAGATACACTAGAAAATGGCCACACAGTTGATATGTTATATCTAGACTTTGAAAAGGCTTTAGATAAAGTACCAGACTCTCGTTTGATAACTAAACTTCAATCATATGGTATCATGAGAAATTATCTAAGATAGATAGAGAACTTTTAACTAACAGAAAACAGAGAGTGGCCCTTGGTGACACTATCTCAGATTGACTACCAGTTATCAGTGGTGTACCACAGGGATCAGTTTTAGGACCACATATGTTTTTGATTTTTATTAACGATTTACCAGATCACTTCGAAAATCCTATCAAACTTTATGCTGATGACAGTAAAATAATAAACATTATAAACGATCTGAATGATTAAATAAGCCTTCAAAATGATATAAATAATGGCATGGTCATCTATCTGGCTCACAAAACTTAATTATGAAAAATGTAAAATTATGCATATCGGGAAAAAAAAATCAAAATGCAACATTTATGACTGATATTGATTGCAATTACAATTATACATTATGTAACACAGATGCTGAACGTGATTTAGGTATAATGGTTCAATTAGATCTAAAACGGCACTCACAAGTTGATTCAGTAACTAGCAAAGCAAATAGAATGTTAGGTATCATAAAGAGAACATTTAAATATTTAGGTGTAAACATAGTAAAAAAGCTTGAGTTTGCAGTCCAGGCATGGTCTCCATTCCTACAACACATAGACAAAATTAAGATGATTCAAAAAAAGCAACTAAACTAGCACCTACAATTAAAAAATCTTATGAAACTAGGTTTAGTATTATGCAATTATGACACTAGAAGAATGTAGATTCGTGGAGATCTTATTCAACATTATAAAATAAAATGAGTTACAAACAATTATCAAAATACATCAAAAGGTCCATATTTACAACAACACAAACTCAAAATGAAAAAACCTTTTTGCAGAAATACTTTCAGATATCACTTTTTCCAAAATCGAGTTGTAAATGCATGCGACAACTTACCATCTGAAATAATAGAAGCTGCTTCAATAAATAACTTGAAAAATAAACTAGACAAATCTAAAATTTGCAGAAACTATTTATTAAGACATAAACAAAAAACAAACTGTACTGTTCCAGTGCAATAACAAAATTTATTATTTTATTGCTATTTTATAACTAGTTGTCGCATAAAAAAAGAAAACAGGAAAAAAAAAAGCAAATTCCATTACTTTTTACTTTTTTTTTTTATAAAACATTTTTGTTCTTAACAGTAAGAAAGTTTACTTTAATTTTCTACTGTTATTGCACTTTACAACTGTTAACACCAGTTGTTACAGCTATACCTTATAATTATTATATATCTAGCTAGTCTGATGGATTTGTATAGGTATACATAGGATTTATCTTATCCTCTGGTTCTAAAAACTAGCTCAGACATATTCCAGAAAAAAACATCTTTTCCTATGGAAACAGCAATTGTGTTGTATAAGTACACACAAATAAATAATGAAAGTATAGAAGCAGATCTCAATACTAAAGTAGTATTGTTGATGTTTGAGGCTATTTACGCACTAGCATGTTTTGATGTTGTACATATGAATAAACTCTGAAAAAATTTTGACAAATAATAAGATAGTCATTGCTTGCTAGCCAAAAATTCTATCCAACAGAGATAGATTAATAATTTTGTTACATTTGATGCAGGTAATCTGAACTGGACTGAGGAATGAGGCCCACAGAGAAATATGAAACGTTTCTAATGAAAAAATGTTTTTAAAATAATGTAGAGTAAGTAATAAAAACAAACAAAAACCATCAGATGTTCAGAATAAACACAGATATACTTTATTGAGAAAAAACTTATACACTTTAATAATAATGTTTATGAATAGACTATTTAAAAACAATTTTTTAAGTTACATTGTAAAAATCAGTGTATTTTTAATAATTAAACAGAATAAATTTAAAAAAAATTATATATGGTAAGTATGAATTATTTGATCATTTTTATTGATGTACAAATAAACTACTGTAATGTCAAAATAAAGGTTAAAGCAGATATTAGATATTTTCTGAAACAAAATAAACTTTATTACTTACAAATCTTACATTTCTATTTTTTCTTTTTTGCTCATGTCTTTTCCTTTGAGACCAGCCTTTAAAAACAAACTTTTTGCACCAGGAATCATTCGCAAAAGAAGAGCAAATGAAGATAATCCAAACAAAAAATTTATTACAACTTGATAAAACATAAGCATTTTTTACTTTTGCCTAAATATTTCAATTGTATTTAAAAATATATCACATTATTATTACTACTATTGTTATATATATATATATATATATATATATATATATATATATATATATATATATATATATATATATATATATATATATATATATATATATACAAATAGTATTGCGTACTAAGGTAAGCAATCTGACTTCATTCTGAAATAGCCTGCTGCTGGGGGCTACAGTACATACATCGACTGTCAAATAGCCTGACTCAGAGTGGAGTGCTGCTACATCGACTGGGATGGGGAGGCAATCGTTTTATTCATCATTCTTCGTATTTTCTTCTTTTTCGAAAAAAATGGTATAGATTAAGGTAAGCAGAAAAAGTGAGCAAATGCTTATCAAAACACGCTTTAGTAAGTGTGTATATATATATATATATATATAATATATATATATATATATATATATATATATATATATATATCATCATCATCATCATCATCATCATCATCATCATCATCATCATCATCATCATCATCATCATTACCATCACCATCACCATCACCATTATCATCATCATTGAATCATTGAATCACCTGATAAGAAAATTTGTACACATATTTAGACATAATCAGCTTTATCAGTTCAACTATTTTCAACTATGCAGCCTAAAAAATTAAATTTGTTAACACAAAGTAAATCACAAACATTTAAGTTAAATAGACAAAAGTTGTTTGACAGATTTTTACATTTCTGTTTTGGATTAAATACCATATATACTGTTTTCTGTGTATTAATATGTCTTAGCATAAAATGACGCATTAATGGCAGTGTCATCAACATTTAATACAGTTAATAACTTATGCCATAAAAAACCAAGACAGTGCAATTAGGACTATATCATTGGCATATGCAAAAAAAAAAAATCAAGAAAATGCCACCTATATTACATCTAATATGCAGATTTGTATCATCAAAAAAACAGTTTTTGTATGTAATGCCAGAACAAGAACAATGAAAGAATTCCACAAATAATTGATCAGGGTATAACAATATTCATAGCTATACCCTAATCAATTAAATTAAAGAACAGTTTCTAGTATTAACACTATTAAAAGCTTTGTTGAAATTATTAATGCATTTCAACACATATATAAAGCTTGTAAAAGCATATGAACATATGGATATATAAAAATCAACTGTCTTTGTTGAATAGTATGTATAAGATATTGTGGAGTAATTTGAAATCAAACTGAAAATTGCCAGCATTGTTATGAGATTCACTTCTTGTTTATAAAATACCTTCAATTATTTTATAACAAGTGACAGAAATTGCAATTGTTCAATAATTATTTATGTTTATTAAATCACTCGTTTTAGATTTTACTAGAGCTATTACTGTTGCTGCACAAAATGTTGATACAAATGTTCACATAACAATCATAACTAATTACTAACACAACTAACTTTTTTAAGATTCAAGATCTCAATTTGATTTGCAAATATATAGGTGACTTGATTCGAAATTTGATTCAATGTTAAATTTCTGATTAAGAAGGGCTTACTATATATACATACACAGGGGCTATTCTAGGATAATAATTTGGGTGGTGCTACCCCCTAATTTTCAATTTTTCAATAATGTGGGTTACCACATTATTGAAAAATTGAAAACCCAGGACAATACAGGATTTTCTGGGACAAACTTGGTAATTCTCCAGGACATAAGCTTCAATATTTCCAGGACTATTTTAAGACTTACAGAAAAAAAGTTATTAATTCCAGGATTAAACTTTCTAGGATTAAACTTCCTTAATAGCTGAAAACAACCCAAAATAAAATATTTCAAAATGCCAGCAACATACCAGATATGTTGCTGGCATTTCAAAATATTTTATTTTGGGCAATTATTTTATTTTGGGCTATATTTAGATAATCTAAATAAATGTGAATTATTAGTCAAAAAACTTGTCAATTACAAAACCTCCCCTGTCTAGGGACTAATAATGTTTTATACTAGAAGCATCCAATAATTCAAATAAAAACAAAAACAAAACTAAAATAAATTAACTAATAATTTAACTCATAACAAATAATTCATGTAAGATAAAAATTTTAACATTAAACAGCAATGTCAGCAATGTTGTGCCATCTTCTTTTCTACTTTGTGCAATTTCTCGATCTCCTTTGATTTAGTTTGACAGAGTTTATTTATTTTGTTAGACTCTTTAAAAAAAAGCAAAACTACATTGTATTTCTGTATTTATGGCTAGAATATCAGACTTATCAGTTAAAGACATTATTTCACTTAGTTATTTTGTAAGTTATGCAATTTGCATTAAATGCTTTTTCTTTTTACTTCTAAAATTTTTTGTTTTAAGTTCATACTGTTACATTCTTTTTCGTCTCTTTGAATCACAAAGATATTTTGTCTCTTTGAATCACAAAGTTCATCAAATAATCTTTATATTGACTGCTTGTTCTTTTTACATGTTTACATAACACTTCTTAATTGATTTTGATAGTATCTGATAAGGGATTCTTTTAAAGTAGACAAAGTGTCAACAGATCAGCTAAAAATTCTCTTGCCTCTTTTTGAATATCTTTATGAAATTTTGGCATAGTTCTAAGTAGCTGGAGAAATAGTCAAAGATTGGCTATTTTTTTTTTGGCTAAGTTCTTGGCTAAGCAAACATGATGATCATGGTTTCCAACTCTGTGAGATTGATAGCCATCTTCGACTAATTCTCCAGCCACTTCCGGAACTAAGCTAATAGCTAAACTGCTTGCATTGCTCCACACAGTTGTTTAGAAGTATTTTTGACATTCCATGATCATGAACAGGGTCTTCTTTGCTGACTCTTTCCTTTTGGTTAGTATAAATTAAACTAGCCTGGTCAATTTTTAGATAAGCAGCAAAACTAATTTCAATACTATTTTTAAGTTTTCAGATATTTTTATCAGTTAAATTTATTTGATAGTGATGGCAATGATTGCTACACTTATTTAAAACATCTTTTAGCATAATCCACCTGAGAGTGATTAACTATATTACCAAGTAGCCATAAATTGAATCATTGATTTGTCTGTTGGGGAAAGCGTCTCAAAAAACCATTCAACTTCAGAAAAATTTCAGCTTGGTCAGCAAGTCATGAAACATGGTTTTGAGTATCAGCTAGTTTTTGTTTTTTGAATCAGCTTTTCTTAAGGCTGAATATGTAATAAACCTTTTGTATCCTAAAAAGTAATTCACCCCTAATATATGCTCAACTATGTTAGTTAGTTAAAGTTAGTTAATATTTGCTCAACTATGCAGTTGAGCAAATATTAACTAACTTTGAACAATTATTAATCGATTTTATCAAAAAAAATCAAATAAAATTGTCCATTTAACTCTTCTAAAAATTTTGGTTCATGAATTAATCAAATAAAACAGTGCATCATTAGATTATGTAGATGGTAATACATTTTTTAAAAAGGAAACAAATGCATTTTTTTAGGCATTTTTTAATTATTTTATCTAAAACAAATGTGTGTGCATATATATATATATATATGTGTGTGGGGGTGGGTGTGTGTGTGTGTGTGTGTGTGTTTATATATAAATATATTTATATATCTACATGCCCTTACCATAGGGAGGGGGTTATTGGGTGTGATCAACAAATGCAAATTCCCAGGATTTTTCTAGGAATTTTCAAATAAAAAAAAATTATTAATAAATTATATAAAAAATGAAAATTAAAAAATGAGGACTTTTTTTTTTTTTTTATGTTTTTTATGGCAAATATTATTTTTTACGCAAAAAAAACACCCATATTTGGCAATAATTCTTCTGGCTCTGGGAGGTGCCACCGCCCAATTTTTTTTCCTAGATTAGCCTTTGAGTATATATATATATTAGGGTGGGTCATAAATTTTTTTTTTTTGTTACAGGCTTTAAACATTGCCAGAAAGTTGTTTTTTTATGTATTAATTTAGGAAAGTATTTACTTTTATGGATTGAACAATGTCTTCCACCTGCAACTATAATTACAAAAATTAGCAGGCCCTATTATTATTCAAAAAATAAATTTTTTCAAAATTATGTGATGTAGGTACTCAAATAAAGCAAAATTTTATAAAAATTTCAAAAATAATAATTTTTTCATATAAAAATTATTATTTTAGATTTTATTGCATAATAACTATAGTTTTTTAACTAAAAGTGAAAAAGGTGCATTTTTACATGTTTTTTAATTACAATTTTTTTTAGCAATATAATTTTTATAAAACGATTATTATTTTCGAATTTTTTATAAAATTTCGCTTCTTTTGAGTACCAGGTTGACCTACTTTTGAATAACTTTTTTTCTCCAAAATATTAGGGTACTGGTAATTTTCCCAATAAAGTTGAGCCCTTTAAATCTATCACAACCATTCTCATAATTGATAGTATCAATATTAATAACTGTTAGCAATGTTTAGAGCCTGTAACAAGAAAAAAAAATTTTTGACCCACCCTAATGTATATATATATATATATATATACATATATATATATATATATAAATATATATATATATATATATATATATATATATATATATATATATATATATATATAATATATATATATATAATATATATATATATATAATATATATATATATATATATATATATATATAATTTATATATATATATATATGAATATATATATATATATATACATATATATATATATATATATATATATATATATATATATATATATATATATATATATATATATATATGTATATATATATATATGTATATATATATATATATATATATATATATATATATATATATATATATATGTATATATATATATATATATATGTATATATATATATATATATATATATATATATGTATATATATATATATAAATATATATATATATATATATATATATATATATATATATATATATATATATGTATATATATATATATATATATATATATACATAAATATGTGTATATATATATACTTACATATATATAT